AGATCCCGAGCCCTGAGTCTCGCGTTTCGGGCTGAGCGTTCTAAAGCCACCCCCCTCCACCTCCTCCCGCGGTTTTCAAAAAACCCCAGGCTTAGGGCTCAGAGGGCCTTCAGGGCTTATGGTTTAGGGATATGAGAGCTCTAGGGTGTAGCACTATGGGCGTCTGTTGACATCACCCCTGAGGCCTCGTCCCCAAGGGATTAGGGTTTAGGGTTTAGGGTTTAGGGTTTAGGGTTTAGGGTTAAACCCTGAAAGCCCTTACCTCTAAACCTCTCAGACTGTTAAACCCCTCAGTCCCCTGAACCCCTAGGATGCCCAGTAGTACCCTTATTCCCTTGTTTGGGGGCTTAGGTTCCCTTATAAACCCCTTTAGGCAAGAAAGGGCACCCTTGTTAATCCTAGGTTCCTGGGCAACCTTGACACCCTAAACCCTAAACCCTAAACCCTAAACCCTAAAACCTAAACCCTAAGCCCTAAACCGGTGTTCACACCTCCGCCAGACGGACGATGTCTTCTCCATCCCCAAAGGCGGCATGGCTTTTTGTTCTAGGGTTTAGGGTTTAGGATTTAGGGTTTCGGGTTTAGGGCTTACGGTTAAAACTCACCAGAATCTCTGAATTTGAGAGGATTTAGGCCCTGAGCCCCATGGAGTTTTTTTGAAAGTCGGGGTGTAGGGTTCAGAGTCTTAAGGTTTAGGGTTCATGGGTTTATGGGTTTATTGGTTCATGGGCACCTGGGGCTTGGGTTCAGGAGGTTTAGGGGGTTCAGGGGGGGTAGGAGGTTTAGCGGGTGTAGGGTTTTGGGGGTGAGTTAGCTATGACCAGGACCCATTCAGGTAGGGTTGATGAGGCTGTGGGCCTCAAACCCTAGCATCGAAAATCTTGGAGCCGTAAGCCCTACCCTACAAGACCTGCGCGGGGGGGGTAGGGGTTTAAGGGTAACCCTAAACCCTAAACCCTAAACCCTAAACCCTAAACCCTAAACCCTAAACCCTAAACCCTAAACCCTTGAGAAGGTTTCGTGCTTGGGACCAAAGTGCTTCCAAGGCATCGATTGCAGCAAGCCGTGCCCAAACAAAGAAGGCAGCTTGGCGTCATCGGCTCCCAACTAGAGGGCTTAGGGCTTAGGGTCTACGTCCAGCCATAGACCCGAAGTCCAAGCTTCTGAAGGCTTAAAAGGGCTTCTTGAGGGTTCCAAAAAGGGATATTGGGTGCCCTAAACCCTAGACCCCTAAACCCTAAACCCCTAAACCCCTAAACCCTAAACCCTAAACCCTAAACTCTAAACCCTAAACCCTAAACCCTAAACCCTAGAACCTAGCAGCTTCCGCAGTGGTTGGTGGGATGTTCGAGGTCGGGCTGGAAGCGCCTGCAGAAAGGTTATAGCCAGCCTGAAGAGATCTCATGACCAGAGGCTCCCATGCCCCCTGAAATGGCTCAGTATAAACAACCAACTAGACAAATATGAGAACAACAGTGGTATTGTTTGCGGAAAGAAGTAATCAGGGTAAAGTACTTCAAGTACTTCTGCTGTGTATAGCATCCTTAGTATAAATCGACAATACTTGCAAAATCTTACCATTAAAGGGACCCATATGCCATATGTCAACAAGTTTGAGACCCTAAAACCTAAACCCTATACCCTTCAAATTAAGTTGACGTTGGCACCTCTTGGCTTCTCCAGAGTACCCATGAGTGCTTTGTCTTCCCCTTCTTTTGGCCCTAGGTTTCCTGTGAGGGTTGTGGTGCAGGGTGTCAGGGTTTACATAGCATTTATGTATGTTTATATACACATACGCATATGCACATATCATATATATATACACATATATGTAAGTTTTTGTTCTTAGGGTGATTAAAAGGGCTCATAGTATGGGCTCTTAGTTGGGGGGGGGAGCCTGTATATATCCATGATATGCCCTAGAATGGCAGAGAGAGAGAGAGGTAGAGATACATCTTAAATGTAAATAAAAAATTAAATATATATATATATGCATACATATACATACATACACGCACATGTATATCTATATATATATACATATATATATATATAAGGCCTCCCACAAGCCGAACCCTCTGATGCCACAAAGGTTGGTGCAAAGGCGGGTGAGAGCAGGCTCGGCTCCAGAAACTTGAAGGACCCAGACAGTACAAGCAGAAGTAGTAGAAGTAGAAGAACCTGTACCTAGGGTTTAGGTAGGCTCATAGGCAGTTGCAAGTAGTTACGTACGGTGTTGGGTTTAATGTTTAGAGTCTAGGGAGTCTAGGGTTCAGAGTGTAGGGTTGTAAGTACCTACGAAAGGATTCGCGCCACTTAAGACTTCCCAGATCGAACTCCAGATGAACCTCCAAGTAGCTCTTGGATGTGAACTTGCCCGAAACCCTCTAAACTCTAAACCCTAAAACCTGTTTCTTTAAGGGAAAGGGCTGCTAACCCTTTACCGTGAGCCCTGAACCGTCAACCCTAAGCCCGAAGCCCACTGAATAGCGCTCCCAATACAATCTGGCTCCCCCCCCCCAAGCCTTCGACCCTGCACCCGTGAATCCAGCGTCCAAACAGAAACTAAACCCTAAACCTTAACCCCTAAACCCTACGGACTCTGAGCCAAAGCCCATCTTAGAAAGATCGGCTCCGCGGATCAGTTCCGCGACGGTTCAGACAACAGCCCACTGCGAGCTGCGAGGTTCCTAAGCGCCGTACGTTTGGGGTGTAGAGGCCTTATGGGCTTAAACCGGGTATATGTGTTTAGGGGTTAGGGTTTAGGGTGTAGGGTGTAGGTTTTAGGGGTACGATGCTTGGAGGATCGGGGCACCTAGTTACTCGGGTAACAAGTGCCATAATTTGGGGTTATAAGAGCTTAAGTGTATAGTTACCCTACTTAGAGCCCCACTTACTAAGCCCCTGATCCTGTAAGTACGAGAGACCTTATGGGCTTCATAGCATTCATAGGGTTGTGTAGGGCTTAGAAGGGTTGCGAGGTGTTCTTGAGTCTATTGGGTTTTTAGGGCGTCGGGGTGGGTCAAACATTGAGCCCTAGAACATCATCCCCCTGGATTCCTGTCAAACAGTCCTGCTTGGAGGTTAGTAAGTAGGGATATATGTACCTGGGGAGATGAGAAGTATTGGGTTAGAAGTAATATAGATAGAAGTTACCTTACTTACACCCCAACTTCCTGAGTCCCCTGATTCCCTGAACCCTAAACCCTATGAAAACAAGTCCTACCAGGAACCCGCATGTTTCCGCAACTGCAGCATGTTTCCGCTGCGGCTGTTTTTATCGACGGTTGAGCAGGCATGACCTCCAGCTACATAAGGACATCGTTTAAGGGTTCAGGGTTTAGGGTTTAGGGCTGAGGGCTTCGAGTTTAGGGTTCAGGGTTTAGGGTTTAGGGTCTAAGGGTTTAAGGGTTTAGGGTAGCGTTTGTTGCCAGTCAGGGCTGCTTCTTGGCTTGGCCTACGTTCAAGCCTGTTCAACACCTCAGACGATCCATTTCCGGGACTCCGTTTGAATTGTGCTACTCATCTTGTGTACACAGTGTGCACAGTGTGCGCAAGGCGGGGAGCCCTCTCGAAGCCCATTTACGAAAAATGCGCGGAGCGTCTGACGTCAGGAGTTTGAACCCTAAACCCTAAACGTTAAACCCTAAACCCTCAGCCAAAACGCTAAACCCTACACCCTAAACCCTAAACCCTAGCCGCCCTAACCCTTGCCCCCCCCCCCCCCCCCCCCCCCCCCGTATTTCCAGCACCAGCCACCCGCAACTTCATAATACGTTTTTAGCGTTTAGGGTGTTTAGAGTGTTTTGGGTGTTTAGGGTGTTCAGGGTGTTCCGGGTGTTTAGGATTTAGGGTTGAGGGACAACGGTCAACGATTGAAGGCTTCTGGGCTAGACCTCAATCCCAAGTAACAGCTCGAAACCCCCGAAGCCCCAAGCCCTAAACCCTAGACCCAACAAAGACACTCTGCTTCTGGCGCTTGTTTGTCCGAAAAATATGAGTACTTTCCCAAGCAAAACTAGATTAGGGTTTGGGGTTTAGGGTTTAGGGTCTAACCCCAGGGCTTACGAGCCCTGAAGAGCTCAACCCGCACTCAACAAAAGCAAGCACCCGGACCCACAGAGGTCCGAATTCATCAAGCCCCAAACCAAAACTCTAAACCCTAAATCCTCAAACCCTAAAACCCTAAAACCCTAAAACCCTAGAACCCTAGAACCCTAAAACCCTAAAACCCTAAAACCCTAAAGCCCTAATACCCTGAAGCCCTAAAGCCCTAAAACCCTAAAGCCCTAAAACCCTAAAGCCCTAAAACCCTAAAACCCTAAAGCCCTAAAACCCTAAAGCCCTAAAACCCTAAAGCCCTAAAACCCTAAAGCCCTAAAACCCTAAAACCCCAAAACCCTAAAACCCTAAAACCCTAAAACCCTAAAACCCCAAAACCCTAAAACCCTAAAGCCCTAAAACCCTAAAACCCCAAAACCCTAAAACCCTAGAACCCTAAAACCCTAAAACCCTAAAGCCCTAATACCCTAAAACCCTAAAACCCTAAAACCCTAAAGCCCTAAAACCCTAAAGCCCTAACACCCTAAACCCTAAAACCCTAAAACCCTAAAGCCCTAAAACCCTAAAACCCTAAAACCCTAAAACCCTAAAGCCCTAAAACCCTAAAACCCTAAACCCTAAACCCTAAACCCTAAAACCCTAAAACCCTAAAAGCCTTGGTGGCCCAGTGGTGCACTTTTCCCTTTCTTTGGTTCAAGGCTCCCTGAAAAAGATACCACCTCAAGAACAGTGGTGCTCTTATCAAAAATATGGTGACTGGGCCACGAAACCTGAAGCCCTCCGGTACCCTCCAAGTACCTCTTCATAAGGGCCTATGTGTACCTTACTGGGGACATTTAGGGCATTCAGAAGGGTACTTGGGGGGTCTAGGCTGAACCCGAGAAGCCCACCAGAAGCGCCTAAAGTGTAACCTGAGTTGTGACAACAATCCCGTGCAG